TTTTAGTGTAGAGTGTATACAAGCGGCTGAAAAATAGAAGGAGGGGAGAAGGACGGGGGTTGTGGGGGGGGGGGGGGGGGGGAGACCATACTTGGGGGGGAGGTTTCTAGAGGAATGAGAATGATGCTTTGGAATAATCCAGCAACACTGTTATGTTCCTTTGTTTATTTCCTGTTGTATATGTGCTATTTTCTTGACACTGGATTCCCTCCCCCCCACCACACACACAAACAAACCTCTCTACATGGGAATTAAGTAGGATTTTGGACCAGTAAGTTATTATGAAGCAGTTCATAATATGGTATGTCTCTAGACTGGAGAAATGTATGTTACCAAACTGGATGCAACTTGTTTTGTACATATAGCAATGGGTAAATAGCTTTTTTAAAAAAATACATGGCAAGTTCAGAAGGATTTATAGACTTTGGGAAAGGAAGACTTTAATACTTTACATCCTGCTAGGTTTCTGATCAAGATTGAAGGCACTACACCCTGCTATTGGAATTGAGGGCAGAGAGTATGTGTATTCTCAGACCCATGCTTTCTTTTCTGAATACAAATAATGGGTCTGGCCAAAAAGACTGATCTGTAATAGATCATAACAAGGGATAAATACCACCATGTCAAGGTGGCAGATTAGATTGGTCCCCTTTGCTTGTAATTTATACATTAAAGAAACATTCACACATTTAGTATTGATATAAATGCCATACTTCCTAGTTCAGGGGTTTAAAAAAGTGCAGAAACAAAATGGTGATAGCTGAACAAGTAGTTTTGTAGAATGTTCCCCATTCAATCCTTACCATCTTCACTTGGATCTAGGAAAAATCTAGTCCTAAGACCTGGAGAAAGAATGCTACATAGATCACCTTAAATTAAATAGATCAGGGGCTAGACTCAGTTATAAGGCAAAAATCACTTTCCTACAGAAGTGCAATACCTGCAAGATTTAAAATCAGCATGGAGCCTGAAGTTCATCTTGAAGTCATCACTGTTAGATCCAGGAAGTAGATGTGATGCCACAACATGCCTCTGGAGCATATCAGTGAACAAAACAACTTATTGATTTCTATCTGCACTTCCTTCAGCTTCTGGTTGGTTAGGGAACAAACTAGCATGCTTGTGTGCCTCTGTATAGCTCTGTTTCCTGTTGCTTTGACAACAAAGCACGGCAAGGGCAGAAGAAGGATAAGGATAAAGTGAGGCGACAAATGATGGCTTCCACAGCCGATCAGAAGTGGAATTTTATAGATCACAGTCAAAGGGGGAAGGACACCACCCTTGAAAAGAGGCTTCAATATTTGCATCTGTCAAAGCCCTTCTTCTCTGAGGTATCCAATTAGCATTCCAAGCTACGGAGCTGTTTTTCTCCATGGTAATCAATTTTCAAGAATTACATAGAATCAGCCAAGTAATTATTAATGTATGGACTGGTGTTTCTATGGGATTTGTGGTTGAGTCTTTTCATATATGCTTATTTCTGCATGAGTAATTTTAAAAGTGTTGGACAACAATGTATTTGCACATCGGCATACTCCCTCCTAGCAAGAGAGGAAATATTGACTGGATTTTTGTATGAGCAAACACATGTCCTGCTTTTTGAACAGTGGCCAAAGAAAGTAGAAGCAGTAGTAAGGATGCTTTGGAAGATGAGAAACAATGAGGACTGGAGATGTTGCTGAACTACATCTTCCAGGAGGTCTAGCAAGTATGGCCCCAAATGAGGTTGCTTTCTAATTATCCAGCAATAGCTGGAAAGTCACCAGTTCCCCAATCTGGATAAAGAAGGCTAATTTAAATTTATGCTGGTTCCATCATTTGACTGTAAATTTTCATGGATTATATTCTGGAACAATAAAATACAGGTTATGGCCTTCACGATAATAATCTTTCAGATACTTGAAAAATGCTACTATCCCCCCCATCTTCACATAGTCATTTTCAACATTTTATAAATATCTACCTCACTTAATCTTTTATTGCAGAAGGTTGCTGCCAGTTCCCAGGTCATTTTTCTTACCCCTCTCTGGACCTATGTGAGTCTGAATATTTTTCAACTGTGATACTCAGAATAAAGAACATTATTCAAAGTAAGGTCTGATCAATGCGGAAAAGAATGAAACTGTTCTTATTCAACACATGTGTCAAACTCATGGCGTCACGTTGCAGTCACAAGACGTTTCATAACATTTTCCCATTCGCGGACCAGGGATGGGCGTGGCCTGTGTGTGACACATCCAGCCCATGGGTTGCTAATTTGACACCTCTGCTATACATGATTCAGAAATTGATCAGATCCAGATATTGTGTTTCTTTGTTGGAATACCTACTTGTTATGGCAAAAGTTTTCCAACCACAACAGTTAGGGATGAGCAAGAAATACAGACCTATTATTTGTTAAGAGCACCCAAAGACTCAGTGTAGGACAAATCAGCAAGAATATTTACTGCTATGTAGTAAAGAATATTTTCATCCTGCCTTATCAGTATTGTCAAAAACCTAAAAACCACAGTCAGATTTGTAGATCTGCTATAACTGCAGCATACAACACAGTTTGGAAGTATAGTTGTTATACAGACTGTGCATATTAACTCTTGAAAAAAAAATTATTGACTAATTAATAACATGCTGAGGGATAGTCCTGTATAATGGGGGACAACGTAAGTAAGGTAAGATGATTAAACAACAGCTTCCCACAAGGCTCTGTAACAGCAGATACATCCGGGTTTTTTTTCCTTCGCGGAGCTGGGGTGGGCGTGGCCTGCCCATGACACATCAGGCCTCCATGCCATCAGTTTGACACCTCTGACCTACACTATTCAATTTATACATATTAGCTATGCTGGCAGCAAGAGAATGCAAATTTGGATATGCTGATGACTTCAGTTTAGTTCAGTTTATTAAACTTGTATGCCGCCCTATTCCCAAAGGGCCTCAGCAGCACAAGAAAAACACATGGAGGTGGCAGACAGTCTCCTGTCCAAAGATCTTAAATCTTGGAGAAA